CTGCGCGGCTGGGGGTGGGACAGCGGGAGACGGTGTCGGTGGCGGCGGCAGCAGCGACAATGCGACAAGCTGAGAGGCCTGCTGCCGGTCTCCTCCTCCTCCTGTTATATCTCCTCGTCCTTTTCCTCCTCCTGCTGCTTTTCCTCGGCCGAGAAGACGGGGATGGACCTCGCCGAACACAAAAAGGCATAGTCGAGGAAGCGGCCATTGGTCGCTCGCTTTCTCGCTGCTAGCCCAATCGGGCTGCGCCCAGGCGCCCGACACCCCAGGCACACCACCCAACGCATATTACCCCCAAGGGCACGGAGGGTGGCGCAGGAAAGCGGGCCATCCTCTCGGTCCCCCAGGCGTCCTTCTCCCCTCCCGCCTCCTCCCCTGATCCCTCCCTCCACCCCCTCTCTCCTCCTCTTCCTCGCTCCCCCCTTTCCCCCCTCACCTCCTGGATCTTTTCTCTCTCCCCCATCTTCTCCCTTTCTCCCCCACGTGCGCGTTTCCAGTCGTAGCGTCATGCTCTCTCATTGCAAAGTCGGCCACATATCAAGATCGGTGCGTTGTTTCCGTCGTTCGCGATGGCGCTGCTCTCGTTCCAGTGCGGGCCACATTCTACTGGATGCCCTTATCGCCTTGCTGTTGTCGGCCCAGTTCTTTTCCATCCTCCGGCTCATCCTCGGCATTCTCTTCTTGCTCCTTCTCCTCCTCCTCCTCCTCCTTTTCCTCCTCCTCTTCCTCCTCCTCCAATAAACGATACACCTTGCCGACTGCCAATCGGTGGATAGAAGAGGACTCAACACAATGGGAACGGATGGGTAGGAGGGGTTCGGTGTTTCTATGCAGCGCGATCGTTCCTGGATTGTCACTCTCTCCTCCCCAATCCTCTGGCCCCCATTATCTCCACCCCCTCCTCCCCGCTCCTCCCCATTGCCCATTGGCCTACTTAGGACACCAATTCTTGAAACATAAATCCGCCGGCCCCCTTGTGTGGCCACCAGGCTGTAGGCCGAAGGCTCGCAGTTTCCTGTACCAGTTGCAGCTTTCAGTTCCACTGTTACAATTCTGCTTCTTGCTGCTTGCTGTTCCTTGCGGATGGACCGCGCGAGGGGGGGGAGGCCCAAACGGGCAGGTTTAGCAAGCCCTGAGCGTGTTGTCTAAATTGCTGGGGTGGGTAAAAATTGACACCCCTCACGCAGATCGGCGGGGTCAGGGTTCAAACACACATGGGATTTGCCGCATTTCTGAAATTTGCTGGCACCCCTCACGCAGATCGGCGGGGTCAGGGTCCAAACAACCAGCGGGATTTGCCACATTTCTGAAAGGGTCAACAAAAACACATGGGATTTGCCACATTTCTAAAATTCGGTGGCACCCCTCACGCAGATCGGCGGGGTCAGGGTTCAAACAGACATGGGATTTGCCACATTTCTAAAATTTGCTGGCACCCCTCACGCAGATCGGCGGGGTCAGGGTCCAAAAACAGATGGGATTTGCCACATTTCTGAAAGGGTAAACAAAAACACATGGGATTTGCCACATTTCTAAAATTCGGTGGCACCCCTCACGCAGATCGGCGGGGTCAGGGTTCAAAACACACATGGGATTTGCCACATTTCTGAAATTCGATGGCAACCCTCACGCAGATCGGCGGGGTCAGGGTCCGAAAACCTAACGGATTCTCAACATTTCTGTAGTTCGATGGCACCCCTCACGCGGATCGACAAGGTCAGGGTTTCAAAACACACATGGGATTTGCCACATTTCTGAAATTCGTCGGCACCCCTCATGCAAATCCTCAGGGTCAGGGTCCAAAAACACATGGGATTTGCGACACTTCTAAAATTCGATGGCACCCCTCACGCAGATTCACAGGGTCAAGGTCGAAAAACAAACATGTCCCGACACTGCTTCACGGCGGCGCCCAGACCTCATGATTTAGCTTTTGCATCTCCCATTATCCGGGACAAGGGGCCGGCGGCATGGGGCGAAGCCCTCACGGATATTTTGGGCTGGCACGGTGGAAACACGTTGCTCACTTAATGGTGCCTCTCGGGTCAGGGACTACATTGTCCTACGCGCGGCTGGGGATGAAGATAAACGGTATGGGTGTGCGCTCTGGGTCAATACATCGATTACGGCGTACGCTTCTCGACGTATCACAGCCAAGCACTGCAAAGTATTAGTTGCATTTCCCTGAGCGTTACTCGTCTCCATCAGGTGCGGCCTATTTCAAGCCAACATTTTGGTAGGACACGGTCCTCACAATGCCGCAAGACATGAGACCATCGTGGCATGGTGGTCTGATCTACGGCAGAGGTGTCGCCGGTTTTTTGACGCCGCCGTCCCCGATATTCTCCTCATAGAAGCCCATGGGCGCGTTGGGTCTAGGACTTCAACGACTATTGGAGGTCACAAAGCTGAGCAGGATACTTTCTCGGACAGCCAATTCCACGACATGCTGCTGGATCGGCAGCTTCGGGCCCCCTCTACGATGCTTCCGTTGTCCACTTCAGGCTCCACGTGATTGTCCCCTGCTGGGCAAGCAAAGGCTTCTACTATTACCGAGGGTCGCCGCATTGATTACACCTGTTGCTCGAAAAAAAATCGGGGTCCTACGCGCTGAAATTCTTGAACAACTGGACTTGACTGTCTCTGTATTGGACCACAAGCCGGTACATGCTCGTCTTCGTTTCCCCTTAACGCGACTGGCCGCCAATCACATCAGTAGCTACCCGCACATGAAATTCGACCAGGCCGCATTTCATGATCCAGAGCTAAAAAAACATTTCACGGAGTACGTGCGCCAACATGGCCCCAACCAGATTTCGCCATACACGTAAACAATCACTGTCAGAAGTCGTTTCCTTTGTGCACCACGCGCTTCCGCTCGCTTTTCCTTGCAGGCCAACTAAGCGAGGCAGGCAGCCTCGACAGTCGTGGATCTCGTGCGGCACGCTGTGTGCCATGGACAGACGCACTCATATGCTCAGGCTATTTCGGCAGTTCACTACGCCATGGTCTCTGGTCAGGCTTGCGGTTTGCTTTAAGTTTGGGCTACCCCGGCGGGTGGGTCATGGTACTGTCACCGTCGCAAAGCGCCAACATGCGCTACCAGGTCTTTCGCTGCTTCCTCTCCCTCGTGGCTGGCATGCTTGTTTTGTACGCTACGCCTGCGGCAAAACGTCCGGGAAGGCACGGACGAGGTGGTTATGTCGTGGGAAGCGTTGGAGGCCGATCCCCCAACACATCCACAACCCAACGATAAGTTATTGTCTGCATCGTAAAACCCTGGCAATACTTCGGCTATGTGGCGTTCTGGCCGTCCTAGCAGAGGACCCCCTCGCAAGTCGCTTCCCACCCTGGCTCCCCCTGCGTATATTGGTATCTTGGAGGGCCCCTGCATGTTCAGCCTTCAGGATACGACATTTTGGCCGCATTAGCTGCTCTTGGGGATTTCGGACACTGCACCTTGGCTTTGCGATTGTGCTCCTTGGTTGTCCGAAGTAAATATTTTCACATACTCGTGCAGCAGGATTCCAAACGTCACTTTGTCGATTTTGCTGAGGATATCCACAACGCCGGGTCCAGGCGCGCTCGCGGCCAAGCTTTTCGTCGCTCGCGCGCACTGGGGGCATGCTCCCGTAAAAAAGGTTCGGTCACAGCAGCTGCCCCGCTCGTCGGATCTGACAGGCAGTCTGTAACATCGGAAGGCCAGGCCAACAGAGTATGGACACAACACTTTGCAGGTATAGAGGCTGCTCCTGTCATGCCTATGTTTCCGATCTGGACTGGTTTGAAGGACTGCTGGGGAGTTTACCAGAAGATCTGCTTCAGGATGTTCCTTTTTTTCAACTGTCAGACGTGACGGGAAGCTGCAAGTGCACAGTGGCCTCTGAGCTGTAAGTGCGCAATTTCGTTGTATTGCGCGCGCGATCTTTACGCTGGACCGTTGCGTGGGATCTTTACGTTGGATCTTTACGCTGGATCTTTACCGTGGATGTTTAAATTTGATGTTTACGTTGAACCCTTCAGCTCCAACTCCTCCGGCTGCTACTCCTTCAACTCCTACTCCTTCAAACTCCCATTCCTTCGGCTGATACTTCTTCGGCTCCTACTCGTTCAAATCATTTTACGTTGGATGTTTACGCTGGATCTTCTGCGTGTGGTTGTTACGTTGGGTCTTTACGCCCAGTCTTTATGCTGGATCTTCACGTTGGTTCTGTACGTTGGCCCTTTTTCGTCGGATCTTCACGTTGGATCTTCGCGTTGGATCCTTCAGCTCCCGTTCCTTCAGCTCCTACTCCTCCAGCTCCTACTCCATCACCTCCTACTCCGTCAACCCCCGCTCCTTCGGCTGCTGCTCCGAGCGCTATGCTCTTTCAATTTCGAGGCAAAGGCTCGGAAGGAGCTAAGTTGAGGCTATGGCGGGATCGCCAAGGTGAAATCGCAGCCCCCACTCGTCTTCTAGGCTCGACCACCTTGTTCGCGGTATGCCAATGCACGAATTTGGGAACAATGCTAGATGAAGGCGGGCCCCTTGGTCCAGAGCTGGCGCGCCGTACTCAAGCCAGTGTGTTCTCTTCGAAAGCCCTCTGACGCGTGCTGAAGATACCAGGTTTAGATCTATCCATCGGCTTCTTTCTCGTGGACTCGCTCATGTTCCCGAGCAAACTTTTTTACGCGAGCTGACCACTTCGCAGCGGGCCTCGCTGTCCAACGACTTGGTGCGGATGAACCGAGCAATGGTGCGTTGGCCCAGAAGATGCGAGACGGCTGCTCCCAATCATCACATCCGTGCCCAAGTTGACCGGCCGTGCCTCGATGCTGCCCTAATGGCTCACCGCCTTCGTATTTTCGGGCGTCTCTAGCATGCTGGGCCAGATCATTTGGTAGCCTTGGCGAGCACTCGCTTCCTGGAGTCCAGGGCGTCTTGGGTTCACCAGGTTATCGCCGACCGTTTGCTTGTGGTATGTGTCGTAAAAACTTGCTTCCAGGAGGACCTTGAATGA